CCCCACATCTCCCCTCCTCCACCGCCGCAGGCAAACAACGGCTACCCCCCGCCCGGCGGCCCCGCGATGGCCATCATGCCGCGCTGGTCCACCGCGATCGCATTCACCTCCTCCACCATACAGGGTGCGCCGCCGCCGCCGCCGCCGCCGCGCGGCGCTGCCCTCCAGCCCTGCCGCTGAGCGGCTGCGCTCCGCTCCACCAGAGAGGATGCTTGCAACTGCAGGTCTTTGCTCGGAGGCTCATTTGCACCCCCTCCGATGCTGACACCGCGAATTATCCCCACTCATTGATGCTGGAAGTTACACCCACTCACAAAACTTGCCCGCACGCCCGCACGTATCACAACTGCAATCCCCCCGACCCCTCAAACGCATGCACGCGCGCATCCACCCAAAACCTGCAGAGGCTCTGGACACCTGGAACGCCGCCGCGCCGCCCGCGACCAAGGCGGCGTCGTTCGACGCGCTGCTGAAGAGCGAGGCGCACCGCGTGGTGAAGGACGCGCTGCTGGCCCTGAGGCACGACGGGCACATGTTCCACCAGGTCAGCGGCGAGAGGCGCGCTTACACACACACACACACACACACACACACACACACACACGCACACATACACACACATACACACACGCACGCGCATGCACACACACCTACACACACACGCACACACACACACACACTCATTGGCCTTGGCGGCGCTCGCGGCAAACCTTCGGACTTTTCGAGGTTGCGCTTGTGCGGGCAGGGAGAAGGGAACGAGGTTCAAATGCAAGGGAAACCTAAACCCCTTGTTTTTCCCAGCATGATCCCGCAGCATGCGGACCGCCCCTGTGACCAGGGGGCTTTCAACGTGGCCGAAGTGGTACACTCCTGTCCAACGGCCAACATCGAACACCACATCCGCTGCCTCCTCCCTCCCAGGCGAACCTGCGTGTTGCCGGCAGTGGCGGCCCAGGCAGCCTGGTCATGATGTGGGCCGAGGCGGTCCTGACGCAGCTGACGTCGTTCGTCAACTGGCCCGTCGACTCGGTCAAACTCGACGACCTCAGTCAACTCTACGTGCGGCGGCAGTCAAGGGACGACTGCAAGCTGTCGTATTCTCTTGGGGTGAGCAGGAAGGACCAAGCGGTCAAGTCGGTCACTTTGACAGCCGCGGGCGCGCCCGGCGCCGGCGGCCAGTGGTGCAGCGCGCCGCTGATTGTGCGGCCGGGCGTCGACTTGATCGACGACGGCGCCGGCGGCGCCGCGGCGAGCGGCGCCGCGAACTCGCGCGCGGCGGCGGCGACGGCGGGGGACGGGGCGCGAAACGTGATCGCCAGGGTGCCGCCGAAGGGGTCGGTCACGATGCGGGTGTCGGGGGACATCCCGTGGATGGTTATGGCGTAGTGATCTGGACGGCTGGGATCTGGTGATCTGCTGATCTGTTGTGTGGTGATCTGGCGATTCGGCGATCCGGCGCTCTGCGCCCTGCTCTGCAGAGGAGGCCTTCCTGTGCCTGTGCGGAGAGTGGCGCGCGGCCGCGCCGCCATCCCCAGAGCATCGAGACATCGACTGCCCCGATTGGCGTCGTGAGACGCCACTCTCGAGCGGCGGCGCACTGTCGCTGCCGCAGCCCCCCTCCCTTCTCTTGTCCCGCCTGGCTACCTCGGCCATACAAATTTGATTTCGAGATGCTAGTATGATAGGCGCCTGAAGGCAGATGCTCTGAACCACTGCATTCACCCGCTTGGCGGCGGCGGCGCGGCGCCGCCGTGGTGGCTGCTGCTGGCGGGCGCCGCGGCGCGCCGCGGCGGTCTTGGCCCTGGTCCCGGCCCTCTACGCGCATCGCACACCACTTTTGTTCCCAACGGCCGGACGCAGCGCTTGCCCTTTGCGCGCTAGCGTCTCCCGCCCCCAATCAGCTTGTTCACCCAAGGGGGCGCACGCACCTTGTTGGTTTCGGTCCTCTAATTTAGGGTCTGGTTTGCGCCTAGGCTGTGCTTGGGTTCTAAACCACAACGAATGCCAGGGCTTTGAAGTTTGGTGCAGGGGCCCCCATCAAACTTTGGGAGAGCCGCGGTTAGCCCTCGGTTTTGCACCGACGTCGCTCCCTTGCACAGGACCGCCTTGCACATAGGGCAGCGCTGAGTCAGCAGCGGCCCGGCTATCCCTCTCTTGCCTTGCCTGGCATGCGGAGGCGGCACCACCAATAAAAGGGGCCCCCCGCGCCCACGAAACCGAACCACTTCCCCAGCAACCCTGCGCGGGCCCCGCCTGCTGGCAGCGGCTCAGCTTAAGCTGCCGCAGCACCGAGCCACACGCGTGAATGCAATGCTGCACCCTGATCTTTGGATTTGTACTTCTGGTTCCAGGGATCTGGTATTTGGCGGCCTGTCACGTGCACCGACCGCATTCACTGCATCCTTTTTGGGCTTGGTGCTGCGGAATTGCTGTGACGCAGCCGCGTGTCCTTGCTTGCAGCAAGATTTCGAGCATACACACCTCCAGAGCGCCTGCACCGGGGCAACACATTGAAGATCTGATCGCGATCTGATCTGGTTGGTTGATCTTGCAAAGTATCAGTCTTCTTATTCATATGTGCATCATATCACCAGTCTCGCTGGCAGCAGCCGAGAGGTATGTGCGCCCACCAAGATTGTAACCTGCCAGGATGCCGCATCTTTGACGGCTCAATTCCTGCCCGTCACAATGAGTCGTACAGCTGCTTGACAACCCCTCTACTGCAAGCAAGTAAACCACTAGATTACATCAGCCGCTTTGCCCGCTGTCCACTAGCTGAGCGGACCATGGATACATCCAGTTTCCTGGCGGCTTGCCACAGCTCATCTCATGAAGCTGAGGAGCTTTAGCCGAGGAGCTTTACACAGCGCAGCAGCAATGCACCCTTGCACCCAGACTCGTCTGTTGATGCCCGAAACAAGGCGTTGCATGCGTTGAGTTTGCCCGGAATACCGTATCTTTCCCTCAGCAACAAAAGCAAGTCCATGGCCGCAATGGCAGCGATCATGGCACGCTTTGCAGCAGAGGGTGCCGCGTTCCCTTGCTGGCAAAGAGATTACCATTTCCCCCCCACCCCCCACACCAGGCGGTTGTCTCTCAACTCCACACCTCAGCAGGCGTGTATCTTGCAGATGCACAAGCAGATGGCTGGGGCTTGATTGGAAGCCTCACAGCCGGCACCTTGAACACAACTAACGGACGCCTGAGCTTGCGTGATCAGGCGGGCACCTTGCCTTTGCGGGCGGCGTACCATTCTGCCCACTCTGAGAACTCGATGAGGCCGTCGCTGTTGCGGTCCATGGCCTGTGGTCATTTAGAGAGGTGCACATCCAAGGTTATGTTGAGCTTGTCACAGGCGAGATCACAAAAGTGGCATAAGCGTTACGGGAGCACAGGCAGGGAGATGGGGATGCAGGCAGCAAGAGGGTGGAAGGCAGCCAAAGTGGCGGTGGTATGCAGGAGCGCGGCTGCTGCTGCTGGTGCCTGGCAAGCGCTTTGCATGGTTCGTCGTCGTCTTGGCTGCCAACCAGTCCGGCAATTTGACGATGCCACACACACGAGGAGCCTGGACGCTTGTGTAACACGAGAAAAGCTGCTCAGCCAGGGATGCGGAAGACACGATATTTGCTGTTCCCACCTTGAGCGCCGCGTTGGCCTCCTCTGGGGACAGATCAATGCCCAGCTGCCCGGCCATTGACCGAACCTCGGACGCGTCCAGCCTGCCACAAGGTGGGCGGGCGGGGCACGCGCGAGGGCCATCCCAGGTCCCGAATGAGGGCACCAACACACACGCCGGCGGTGTGCGCGCGGATCTGATAGGGGTGCTCCTGCCCCCGTGCTGTTGCCCCTCACATCGTCATCATGTACATGTCTGTGGCGCAACGCATTTTTGTGGTAAGCCTGCACCTCCACAATATTGAATGTAGCAGGAAATATTGAAGTCAATACCCAATCAGGGCCGACAGCACGGCAGCCTGTCTGGGTGCAGCAACAAGGCAGACGGCAGGGCAAGCCATGAAACACCTGTCGATCCGTGCCGGCTTAACCTCAAGCGCCCTTGTCACCTGCTGTCGTCGTTGATGTCGTAAGTTGCAAACTTGAGGGCCAGGTCAGATGCCTCTGACTGGCTCATGCCCAGCTTGGAAGCATCAAAGCCCTGCTTCTCACTCCTGAGGAGAGCGGGTACATGAATCAGGGAATGAGACGGAAGTGAGGCAGAGATTGAAAACATGCACACGCATTGGGCATCAAGAAGTGTCCTGCGTGGGCACAGCCTGGCGAAAGGCCACGCAGGCGAGTTGAGCGCGTGAAACCTTCCGGCTGCGCACACGGGCAAAGGACACACGGGCACTCGCATCTCAGACCCGCAGCTTGATGCTGTAAGCAGCAGCCTCTTCTCCTTCCCCCAGCCCCCCCACACAAGACCACATGAATTGCATGCCCAGCAGGACGCCCCCCCGCGCACCTGGAGAGTGTGAGCAGCACCGACAGGTTTGACAGCGTGTCCTGGCCCTTGGCGCCCCCAGGGGTGTCCAGCATCTTGGCGATCGCGTCCAGGGCCTGCGGGGAGGGGGGGGGGGACATCGTCAAGGTGACATCAGCATGACATCAGCACGATGCAGGCAACACCTCCCCGTGCCGGCTTTGAGCCTGCAATGCGCATACAGACACATGCACGCACGCACGCACGCACCCAAGCGTGCACACACACACACACACACACACACACACACACACACACACACACACACACACAGACACACACACGCACACACACACACACACACACACACAAACATGTGCGCGCGCGCACGTACGCACACTCTGTCTCTGTCTGTCTGTCTGTCTGTCTCTCTCTCACACACACACAAATAATCGAGACTGCACACTCCATGTACAAACACCAAGCCAGCGCACGCGTCCGCCCACCTGCGACACCTTGATCGCGTTGGCCGCTGCCTGCGCCTTGTCCACCAGCGCGATGCCCGTCGGCTGCGCTGTCTCCCCTGCGACGCGCTTGAGGGCGGCGTAGAAGCTGTCCACGCTCATGCCCATCTTGGCGGTGGTCGTGAGGATAGCCACAAGGGTGGCCTGGGGCGGAGCGGCGGTTTGGGTGGGGATTGGGGGTTTGAGGTCGAGTGGGGTGAACAGGGATGTGGGAGGGGTCTGGGATGGATTTGGGGTTGAGAAGGGTCGGGGCTGAAATGGGGGTCGGAGGAAGCCCTGGGTCAGGGGTCAGGGGGTGAGGTGGGGCGGAGGGTGTTGGCTCTGCGTGAAGACGCAGTTGTGGCCCTGCATTCGACTCGCAAGTCCCCCTGCGAGTCGAATGCAGGGCCACAACTGCAAACTCAGGTTGCATTGGCAGTGGCAAGGGTCCCAAGGCGCTATCGGCGCCGAGGGCAATGGGGTTTTTGGGCAGCAGGGCACGTCTAATGCACTGTTGACATGCCAAGGTCGACGCCTGGAGATAGAGACCCACCAAATCAAAGAGTACTCCCACAGCAAAGTAGCCGGCCAGGACGCTGCGTAGTTTGAAAGAATGTAGCGAGGGATTGCAATCACGGGGCAGGCGGTGAGGATGCAAATCCTCTTGTGTGCGCTGTGTGCTGTGGCTGTCGGAGCGCACGTCGCACCGCGGCGGGCAGGGTGCAGATCACTCCATGTACTTTTGCCGGTCAGCATAATTGAGAAGCGGCAGCCTGGCAGCCACTCACTCTAGGGCGATGACAAGGACGCCCTTCCCAAAGAAATCAGGGCCCAACCTGCAGCAGGAGGGTAAAGGGAAGTTGCCAATGTGAGAGTGCAGAGTTCAAAGGTACCCGCTGGTGAGAAGCCAAAAGGCTCGACTGCCCGGCAGGTGACTGGCCATACGGGAAGGATGGCTGGCGCCACTCCTGGGGTGCAGGGGCGGGGCTGCACTTTTGTCAACGCGTGCAGCCCTGTCTGCGGG